ACATTACAAAAGGAATGACATAAAGGAGGGATGAAAGGATGTCCCAGAAAGAGGAAACAACATTTGCAAATGTCTGCCATAGTGAATATCAATATGTACAGAGAGAATGAAAACCACCATGTATGGCTTCATTTGATATATATATATATATATATATATATATATATATATATATATATATCTGGGGTATCAAAGATTGGGGTCCTTTTTTATTTTTTTAAAGATCAGTCTTGTGGCTATTTTAAAAATTACACAGAAGAAGGAAAGACAAGGGGCAGAGAAAACTGTGAGGAGACTGTTGTACCAGTCTATATAGGGGATTATGAAAACTTGAGATAAAGCAGGGACAGTAATAAAAGATATAGATAGGCTCAGAGATTAGAAGGCCACACTGAAACTTTATCCAAAGAGACAACTTAATTTTAAGATATCTCCAAATAAGGAATGCCTTTCTAAGAGTTTTAAACCTCCCTGAAGAAACAAAAGAATGAGTTATATCTACCTCCACCTTTACACATACTCAATACTAATTCTATTTTTAACCAATGACAATTTTCAATTCTAGGTCCTTTCATATCAAAGAAGGAAGAATGTGAGGAGTTAGATGTTTTGTTTTCAGCTTGGTGTCTGGGCTCTAAAATTATATGGTTGAAAATTCTGTAACCTAGCCTCATTGTCAACTGCAAAATTTATCTCTCCCCATCATTGTCCCACTTGTCTTTGTAAGAAGCAAGAAATAACAAGTGCTCTTCGGTCTTTGGATTGAACAATATTAACTCATTCTCCAGTGGTTTAAGATATGTGAACCAAGCCCAATTTCTACCATCCTTCCACTCATCTACTCATCTATCTATCTGTCAATCAACAGACTCATATGAAGTCAGGAGTCTAGAGATACCAAGATGAATAAGTTGGAGATTCCTCCTTCAAGAAGTGCATTTTCTATCAAGAGATGAGTGGGAGAGAAACAGCTGTTAGGATTCAGTAATTCCCATTCTGGTTGGGCCAGCTGGTCTATGTTTTCAACTTTCCTATTTCACTGCTTTTATGATTAGCCAGGATCAAGTCCAAGAGCTATCCAAGTTTGTAGCACCTTGGCAAATAATATGATCAGAGAAAGAACTCCTCTGCAGTAGTTGGAAGAGTCCTTGTCTGAGACTAGAGCTACCTGAGATATGGCCCCTCTAAGGCAGTCATTAGCTTTAAGTATCCATGTAGGTTCCTCTCTCTCTTGGCTTATCCTCATCTTGAGAATGACAGAATGGACCAGATAATTCCTTGTTTTTCTGGCATTTTGAAAGTTTCTGATCCTACTCAAGTTCGAAATGGTATCTGGACACCTCTTTGTAATGAGTAATAACATCCTGAACATGGACTCTGAAGTCAGTTGATCTAGACAGAGACTTCCTCATGGGAGGGATTTCATAGCTATAATTGGCATGTGCAGTATAGATCCAAAGCACTTTCATACCCATTATCTGATTCTCTCTTTATGAGAACTTGGCGAAGCATTTTCACTCCCATCCTTCTAAGAGGAAACTAAACTCCAGAGTGCTAAGTGGTTAATTAAAAACTGAACTTTAGACTAGTTATTTCATCTAATTCACACAATAATTCTGTGACTTTTCTAATTCTTCTTTCTTTACTTCTTTCCTTCCTTCTCTTCCTTCTCCTCCTTATTTTTCTTCTTTCTGTCTTACAGGTAAGGATCTAAGCTCATGAAGGTTAAGTAGCTTTCACCTCATTAGCAAATACCAAAGCTCAGATTCAACCCCAAACCTCTATAAATCTAAAGTCCCTGCTCACAAGCTTAGCCAGAATTTTAAATGCTGACAGGAGCTGGACAGTTACATAAAAAAAAAAAAAAAAGTTATCCAGGTGGAAGGATTATTCCACTTACCTTTTAATTTCATCAAAGAAAAATAAGAATACAGGTAAAATAATAAAAGAAAGTTTGCCCTTTACATTGCATTATGGATAGTGTAATAAAAAAGATGGAAAATTGTAGAACATCAAAGCATATGACCTCCCTAAGAGGGGCAGATGTTAATTAGGTTGAAGTCAGGTGGGCCCACCTATGCCTGATTTTTTTTTTCATTTTAAAGTTAAATGTAGTGACAGCACATTAATTTTTTTATTGTTTGAAGGATTACAAATAGTATTAGTACATATGTGTCCTTTTTTCCCCCCTTGACCTCCCCCCAGCTTCCGCTACTACCCCATATATGCCTTCACCCCCCCCCCCCCGTGTCATGTATCCATTGGTTATGTTTATAGCATGCATACAAGTCCTTCGGTGGATCTCTTACAGCCCCTCCCCCCGCCCCCAACCTCCTTTGCCTTCTCACTATAGTTTGACAGTCTGTTCAATGGTTCTTTATCTCTAGAACTGTTTTATCCCTCATTTCTTTTCTTTGAAAAATCTTGCAACTGCAGACTAGAAATAAACATATAATAACAAAAAATGTTTGAGTCCTTTTAATTTTGAGAGAAAACTAGATATCTGTAATCTTTAAACAAACAAACAAACAAACAAACAAACACAAAACCTCTCAGTTTGTAAATATTCATGATTACTTAAAAAACTATGTGAGCAAAAATGCTTAGGCGAAAGACAAGAACATATGAATCTTGGCTGTACCTGGCTCACAAGATGCCAGTGTATTCTTTCTGGCCTGCATTGCGCTGCTCTCCTGATGGATGACTCCGTAGCATTAGCTGTGCACCTTCTGTGATGACATCAGGCAGTTCAGCCCAGGACTTGGGTACCACAGGCAGCCATCAACCCAGCTGTGTCTGCTGCTGGGTCCTCAGTTACTCTGAGTGGATGTTAGATATCGTGAATATCATTGTTGACTGGGTGTTTTTGCATACAATAGTTGCCTTCATCTTCACAATAGCTCAGCAAAGAAGAGAGAATATCCCCATTTTGCAGATCATGAGATCAAACTTAAGTCAGTTATAAAGGGCACACAACTGTAAGTGGCCAGCCTGGGATGTTAGATTCATCTCAAACCCAGCGTTCTCCTCATTCTGTACCTTTGAGGTGATTTTTAACTGCTTCCGGTTAGGGAGCTTTTCTTCTTTTATATCCATTTGTCAGACAAGGAAGAAGGTAAGGGCCTGGAGCCATCAGTCAGGAGAACAGGTCCCATTGCCACTCCTCTTCATCCCACCACCAGCTCTACTAAGGGTGAAGGGGAAACAGACAGGGTGAGAAAGGAGGAAGAGCACAAGAATCTGCTCTTCTGTCGTCCAGAAGCTTCATCACTGAGGTGAGACACGCCCACACCCTGTAGGTGACTGCAAGGACAGGCACACAATAGGGAGGGGACTGGCTGCTGGAATGCCAGCCTGGGTGATGAGCCAGGCAGATGCCAACCAATTGTCTCATGGTCTAAGCCAGACCCAGAGCCCTTTATATAAACACAGCCTTCTGTCCAGCTGCCTCAGCCTGAATGACTGCTTGCTTTGAAGGAGGTAAGTCTAGGGGCAGGTCCTGGGATTGGGGGAAGCTAATGCTTAGGGGGTGTTCAGATTCCTAGGGTGAGACATAATGAGGGGGGAAGCTGGGAGCAAAGAATGTCCCCTGTTCTCCTCAGTCTATTAGCCTGAGGAGAACAGAGGACATTCAGGGGACATAAGAAGGATATCTGTGGAGTCTGTGTGGGAAAAAAAGGGCACTGAAGTAAGTGTACTTACCTTTGATAACCCTGGTCTCATCCTTGGGTACCATTTTTTCTCTTCAGGACCTCTCTCCCTAGAAAAGATGCACTAGTGATTGCACCCCGTGAATGGAGTTGGGTGTTGGAGGGTTATCTTCCCCAAGGGCATATATGTTTAAATATTCTCTATACATGGAGAATGGAAGGCTTTGTCCTTCACAAAAAGTATTTTCAGTATTTCAGGAGCTTATTGAGAAGTGTTTTGTTGGGTGAACTAACTATCAAACTAGCCTCCCTGCTATGCTGGCCACTGGGCTGCCTGTACCCGAACAGCTGGACTTGGGGAGGGTGGGGACACTGCCTCTGTGTCCGCCTGCTGGCTATGGTGTTGGATGGTACGCCTGTGCCTCCCACGTCACGTTTGTGATGCCCCCGCTGTGTGGGCTTTAAGTGTGGTTGAACGTCAGTCTCCTAATTAGGAACCTGGCACTTTGTGGGTTACCTCCTCTCAAGTAACTCCCCCCTGCCTCTCAGAGGGGCTGCAGAGTGGCCCTTTCTGAAGCTGGCAGGTAAGGAAGGACAGCAACTGGCTGGGCAAGTTGTCATGTTGGTCCTGAGCCTTTCCGAGGCTGGTGTTTTGTAGGCACCTCTTTTACCTATGCCCACGAGGGCCAGACTAAACAAATTCACCTAAAAAAGATTGGACACAGACAAACAAACATTTGAGGTTGGGATTGACCTGCCCAATAACAACCTGAATTCTTTACTCCCCAGTGGACACTTTGAGCACAGATGGTGCCTGAATGTGTATATGCTTGTTCTTATATACACATGTTTTCATGTGTGGACAATACATGTGTCTGAGAAGTGTAAGCTCCTATGGTTGGGAAGTCCTCACTCTGGACAACAGCCTTAGAGCATGGGTTGCCTCCATTTCTGTAGAACTTCCTTCCACCACTTAGGAGACCAGGAGGTGATGGGAACCTTCCTGCTGTTAGCGCCCTCTTGTGCTGGACATTGGTATGCCTGGCCTCCAGGGCAAGAGCCCAGACACCCGCAGTCCTGGCTGTGCCCTTGAGGCTGTCCCAGCCAGATCAGGACCTCGGTCAGGTCTTTCAGCGGGTTCAAGGCAGGTTTCTTGGGCAAGAGTGACTAATCTTGGGTCCAGACAACTCAGGGAGTATTCTATAGAATGAAGGTCGAGGGTTGGGGAAGAAAGGTCAGGGGAGAAGCAGGGTGTCTTCCCTTGGTTGCTGGCCCTCCTCCCCACATCTCACCCTCTTAAAGCTGGTCTTCCCGCCCCTCAGGTCCTGTTCACACGTCTGCACCGGAACCATGTGTGACCAGCAGCAGATTCCGTGTTGCCTGCCTCCCCCCCAGTGCTGTGTGAAGGGTTCCTCCTTCTTCCCCTCCTCGTACTCTTCTCCCCAGGGCCAGGTGGTTGTTCAAGCCCCTTGTGGGATGCAAATCGTGGAGTGCCCTGCACCGTGCCCAGTTCAAGTCTCCCAGGTGAAGTGCCAAGCTCCCTGCCAGCCCCAGACCATTCAGGTGAAAGGCCAGGCTCCATGCCAGTCGCAGACCACCACGGTGAAGGGCCAGGCTCTAGGCCAGGCCCAGGCTGCGCAGGGGAGCATCCTGGCTGCAGGCCAGGCCCAGGCCGCGCAGGGGAGCATCCTGGCTGCAGGCCAGCCCCAGGTCTGCTACGTGCAGTGCGGAGCCCCATGCCCTGTCCAGACCTGCTTTGTAGAATGCGCTCCGGCTTGTTACACAGAAACTCGCTACGTGGAATGCCCCGTCCAAACCTATGTACCCTACCCGGCTCCCCAGCCTGTCCCGAGGTATGTGGCGTACCCCTCGGCGGGCCAGACTCAAGGAAGATTCTCCACCCAGTGCCAGTACCAGGGCTCCTTCGGCCAGGGCTCCTTCGGCGGCTGCGCCCCCCAGCGTCAGTCCCGGCCTTCGTTCCGCACGTATGCACCCCAATGCCAGAGCCAGGGCTCTTACGGGGGCTTCCCCATGCAGCGTCGGGCTAGGAGCACCAGTAGATGCATCCCTCAAAGTCAGATGAGGCCTTCTTACCGCAGCTGCTCCCCACCCCGCCAAATGCGGCCTTATTACAGCAGCTGCTCCCCACCCCGCCAGATGCGGCCTTCCTACCGCAGCTGCTCCCCACCCCGCCAGATGCGGCCTTCCTACCGCAGCTGCTCCCCTCCACGGCGCTCCGAGCCCTACTATAGCAGCTGCATGCCATCCAGCTGCATGCCCTCCTCTAATTACTGCACCCCACCCCGCCGCTCCGAGCCCATCTACCACAGCTGCAGCGCTCCGCAGCGCCCCATGGCCAGCTGCCCCCAGAGACAAGGGCCCCGGTGCCGCATCGAGATCTCCTCGCCCTCCTGCCCCAGGCAGGTGCCCCCCCAGAGGCGCCCGGTGCAGCTCCCCCCCATCGGCCGCTGCTCTGAGAGCTGCGCCCCGAGGCCCTCCTGGGGGACCTCCTGCCCGGAGCTGAGGCCGCGTCCGCTCCCCAGCTTCTGCCCGCCCCGGGATTATGACCAGTGTCCGGTGCCCGCCCCGCGACCGTCACGCCCGTCACGGCGGTGCGAGAGCCCAGAGCGACGCACTCAGAGGCGGTTTCCTGAGTCCGGTCCGTGTCGGGAGCCGAGCCCAGCCCCGCGTCCAGCCCCACGATCTGGCCCATCGCGGTGTGAGTTTCCAGAGCCGCCCCGTCCGCAGTCCTATGAGCGCCCAGAACCGTGTCCGGAGCCCATTCCCCTCCCGGCGCCCTGCTCCAGCCCAGAGCCCTGCGGGCAGCCCCAGCGCGGCCCCAGCCCCTGCTCAGGCCCGATGATGGCAGGCTCAGGAGACCTCGGCTGCCATGAGTCCCGCCCAGGCCGCCTGGACATGGAGGGCCCCAGCTGCGGCCCAGCGGCTTACAACCAGTGCGGAGAGGGTGGTGATGCCAGCTTTGGACCTTGTGATGTATTCCCAGAGCCGCAGCGGGGTCTGGGCGGTTATGGGGACCAAGGAGGCGGCTCTGTTGGAGTGAAAGGAGGCGGCGCCTCTGTCGGAGTGAAAGGTGGGGACTACTATGCCGGAGTCAAGAGCGCCTACTTCTAAAGGAAGCGTGGCCGAAGCATCCCTGCCTCCTGCCCTGAACCTGCGGCTCCTCCTCTCACAGCAGCCGCAGTTTCCTTGCTCTTGTTTGCAATGCTCCAAAGATAGTCCGAGGCTCCCCGCTGCAGGGGCGACAATGTCCTTTGCATGTCATCATAGGACCCACACCTGCGTCTCAGACACCTCTACAGCCTCATGTGTCAAACTCCTCTCCCATAAGCATCCTCTGTTCCAGCCGGACCAGTCTCACAATCAGGGCACATCTTGGGTGTTCCCCAGGACATACTTTAGCTAGCCCTGCCTCCAAGCCTCTGTCCATTCCTCAACCCCCGGGATTCCTGGACCACTTCTTTGCTCCTCCCAGTATCTGAAACCTAACCCATCTTTCAAGACCTCTTCCCTGGAGACTTTTCTGCTTATTACCACTCACAGAAGCCTGCACTGACTTCCTAGAACGCTCTGCATCGTCCACACCATCCATTTGGCAAGTGCCTTGCAACATCACTTGAACTATTTAGTTTTTCAGGCGTGTCTGTCTTACCTGCCCAGCTAGATTGTAAACTCCCATTTGAGTGGAGTCAGAATATCCCTAAAGTCCCTGGCTTCTCCCGGGGCAGGCAGCTACTCCCCAAGGTTTGTTGGTTGGCAGCTTGAGCCATGATCAGTCCTGCTGGGCAACCCCAAGCCTGGAACAAGAGGAAACCATGTAACAATAAAGATAATGCTACACTCAGATCCTGATTCCTTGGAATAAGCTTTTATTTTTCTTTTCTTTATTCTTTTTCTTCTTGGGTTTATTGTTACCCACGGCTGAGCTTTCCTTAGACTAGACCAGGTGACCTTCTTTGTGGGTTTTCTGTCTCCCCTCAGTGTCCCTGACCCCTGCTGAGAAAGAATGGATGAAAAACAACAACAAGAACAACAACAACAACAACAACAAACACACAAGGAATGAGGAAACAAGGAAGATAGCTCTTGCTCCTCAGTTTAGGGGTAAAGGTCTTCAAGCCTGCCTTGGTCAGGTCACCCAACTGTACTTCGGGGCCGTAGTCACTGTCATGTGACCTCTATGAAGTCAGGGCAGAGAGAAGGGATCTTTCCTAGGCTCTCTGGGATACTCTGCACAGGAAAAACTCTTCTGTATTTCTGAATAAACTATCTGCTGTGTTTTGGGGGACATACTAGAAAAGGGAGCATCTGAGGCTGACTCTGCATTCCTCTATTGCTCCCAAATTCCATTAGGCATGTTGGCCATGAAGGTGGGGCTTGGAGGGGCAGGAGAGCCAGGGGTATCTCTTCCTCATACTCCCTTCAGATGACAAGTACTGGCTGGGGAACTAATGTTCTGGAGGAAATCCCTTCCCCAGAGGGAGAGAACACCTGAGGCCACCAGGATGAAAGGGAGGCAGCTCTAGTCTGGGTCCTGAAGGTATGATCCAGTGCCTCCTCCTCAAGGGCCACAACCCAGAGGGCCCCACAGCCCCAGTACCATAGTGGGCACCACAAATACAGGGCCTGGCTCTGAATACGTTTCTTCCTTGCCCCAGGGATCTAGTAATGCAATATCAGTGGTGGAGAATCCAAGAGACTACCTGTGTTATAAAGAAGAATTGAGGCTTTCCATGTGTAATCCACTTATTTATTTATTTATTTATTTATGAATTAGAGGCCCAGTGTACGAAATTCAAGCATGGGGGAGGGGGTGTCCCTCAGCCTAGCCTGCACCCTCTCCAATCTGGGATCCCTCTCATAATACAGTACTGCTGGCTCCCAACCACTCACCTGCCTGCCTGCCTGATCATCCCTACCCACTCCACTGCCAGCCTGATCGACACCTAACTACTCCCCGCTAGCTCTATTGCCCCTAACTGCCCTCCATTGTAGGCCTGGTCCCTCCCAACTGCTCTCCCTATTGGCCATCTTGTGGCCATATGGGGGCAGCCATCTTTGATTACATGGGGGCAGCCATCTTGTGTGTTGGGGTGATGGTCAATTTTCATATCACTCTTTTATTAGATAGTATATTCACTGCTTACATGCAAGGAAGGCACTGGTAAAAGGGACAGACAGAACCCCTGTTTGCTCTGGTAGCTTGCAGCCTTGCACACTGATTCTCAAAGTGTGGTACCTGGACCACAGCATCAGCATCACGTAGGGTCTTGTGAGAAATACAAATGTGTCATCCAGACCTACTGATACAGAGCCTAGGTAAGTCAGGCACGGCCTGAGCTAGGGAGCCCCGGATGGCCTGGAGCTCCTCACAGGCCAGGGCTGTGCAGGAGCCAGCCTCAGTGCCATTTCTGAGGCCAGAGAAGCTCAGGGCCCAGTCTCTCCTGGGATTAGTCCGAATTGGCCTCAAAGGTCCACTTCCTCTGACAGCCCTGAGCCTCCAGACAGGCCCACAGTGATAAGTTACAGCCTATTTGTTGCAGTTCAGAGGAAACCATACCCAGGAGTGTGTGTGTTTGCATGTCTTTCTGTGGGCTTTGAATGTTTCTTATGTGAGCCCATGTGTCTGCTGTTTCTGTCCGTATGCTTTAAAAGCTGAAGGATTGTTTAAAATGCATTTGGCAATGGAGACTGTGACCTCAGGAGCATCATTTATGATACCCTACAGTCCTTCAACACTGACTTTGGGTGTTCCTTCCCAGGCATCCCTTCCACCTCCACTCTCTACCCTTTCACTGACCACCTGCCTCCAGTTCTCTGCATTTTTCTTCTATGTCAGGATTTGAACAAAAATTAGAGTCCCTAGAACCAGGACTGAGGATTCAAAATTACATTTAAAAATATCACTTATAAAGTTCTTTGAAGGTGTTCAAAGATCTGCGAGAGACTCCCCTTTGAATCTCACAGTAGTCTGAGGCCATTCACAGGTTGTATAGTGTTTTTTCCATTTCAGTTTGACACATCATTGCCCAGAAGTGCCAATGCATTGGCAAAGTCACAGAATATGAGACAGAGATAGCAAGACTCTCAACGTCTGACATCCCACCATGCTAGAAAGGAGGGCCTGGCTTCCAGAGATGAGGCTCAAGTTCAAGTGACTGTAAGAGAGATTAAGGTTATGCTTCCTATCTTGGAATCATGTTTCTCTATTTTTTTTTTCTCTCTTTCTACACCTCCCTCTCAGGAATTAGCATCAGCACTGTACAATGAGGGAATTGCTCTAGATGTTCTCAGAGGTTCCTTCCTCTTTGTCGTGGCACTAGGGTAGGGTGAAATGACTCTGGGAACCCACTTAAAGATATGGAATCCCAGAAATGATCCTGGACCTACTTAGTTTGAATTCCCAGAGAGAGAATCGGGGATCTATTTGAAAATTATTATGATCAGCTGGAGGTAGAAACCATTCCTATAGTGAATACCTAGGTGTGTGAACTTGCTCAAGACCTATACTTGCACGCAGTGGCTACAGCATGCGTAGGATATTGTGGCTGGTCTGTAAGTGTTTTTGTGGGAGGGTTTACGGAATTATTTGTGTGAAGTCAGATTTTCTACTCTAGTTTAGAGGTGGCTCAAGACCAAGGAGTTTCTTCTTTTTCTCAGTTAAATTCTCAGTCCTAAGGCCATCAAAAGTACCCAGAATGAGGTGCTTGTGCATGGCTTATGTAGAGGGATTGTCCGGTACATGTTACAGATATTTTTTACTGGGACATGGTGGGCCTCACTTTGGTATATTTCTCCTTTATTTAGGTACTACCCAAACATTAAGGGGGAGGAATTCCACATCCCAGAGTTTGTCCTACAAACTAGAGTCCTGTTAAACAAGCAAATAGAATGGTCATGCATAAGGAAATAACTCAGCTGTTTACAATGGAATTGATAGGTAATCAGAAGACAGGCAGCGCATCTGTGGATATTTCACCGATGCATAGAAAAATAGTCAGGTGGTGACCAAGATTTCTAACAAGACTAGCATACTCCTGATTTCTGGCATGGTTGGACATCCCAGAGGATCCACATGCTTGTGGCCTGAAACTAGTTGGGAAGACAGGGTGATGCATGATGATCCATGTGCCTCCCCATCACCATCAAACCCAAGGGCCATCAAACTCATTCCTCCAAAAGAGGATGCCTCCTGACCTAGAAGACTAAACTAGAAATATCTGGAAGCCTAGGAATAACCCAAGCTGTGCCAAAGCCTCCCCCCCATGTTCCTCACCAAATCTTGTCATAGGAGCCCTGAGCTGGGTTAGCAGGTTCCCTCTGTTATCTAGTATTGTATCGGTCAGGAAGAAAACTACTTATCAACTTGTACTGACATATCCATTTAGTTGACAATCTGCCAGGAACTGGGTATACATGGTCCTGGAAATACAATGGGGAGCAAGGCAGTTACTGTCTTGCTAACACAAAGTCTGAAAGACAGAGCTTGTGAGAGTTTCCCCCTGGGAGGCATATGGTATCACAGCAGGCCATATAAAAGCCAGTTGAGTGGGTCAGGTGCCTAGAGAAAGCAACTACAAACACTGATCTGAAAGATAAATGGGAGGAAAGAGGAGAGTGTTCCTAGTAAAGTTAACAGCAGGTATAATGTCAACATAATGGACACAATGACAGACAGCCCCAGGCGAAGTATTTCCTCCTTACTTGACCATTCTTCCTGGTCTCTGTGTTGTTTAAGGGTCAATACCTGCCTGTTCACATTGAAATGAGATAAGTTATTTAAAGATACTTTGTGTATTATAAAACACTAAAAGTATATATATATATTTTTAATATATATTTTATTGATTTATTTTTTTTATTTTTATTTTATTTTATTTTTTTTTTACAGAGAGGAAGGGAGAGGGATGGTTGGACATCCCAGAGGATCCACATGGATCCTCTAGGATATTTCTAGAGCTAGAAATATCAATGAGAGAAAAATACTGATTAGTTTCTCCTGCACACCCCCCACCAGGTATGTGCCCGCAACCAAGGTACATGCCCTTGACCGGAATTGAACCTGGGACCCCCCCAATCTGCAGGCTGATGCTCTATCCACTGAGCCAAACCGG